GCCTAGTGGGTTAGAGCAGTGTGCTTGTGTTGTGTGTCAAGGCTGCAAGTACCTGGTTCGATCCCCACAGCCTCCACTCTGGGTTCCTGAGCAAAACCCTTAACCCAACACTGCTCCAAAGGGGTGCTGCACAATGCACTGGAAAAAAATCTAGATAAGTCATTTTTTTTTAAACTAAGTGATTTTTTTCTTGAATTGAGAAGGTAAGAGAGACATTTTGCCAATGGAACAAAACAATATACAGTTAAAATAAGAAACAATTATTGCATTGTCTTATTTCAAGTGCATTTTATCTAAATATCTTATTTTAAGAGTAAAAATACTCATTCCATTGGCAGGTCATCTCATTAACCTACTCAAATTAAGGGTAAATACATTTAATTTAAGACATTTTTACTTATTTCTATATCGTTTTTCCAGTGTGGCGATGGGTCAGATGCTCATGTGGGACAATAAATGATTTACATTACATTTTCTTGCCTTTTGGTTCCTTTTTGCCACACTACTTTAGTAGTTTTAGCAATGTTTGGCATCCTTTCTTATCTTTATGAATGTATATTTGTTTTCCAGACTGACCTTTATGGAGTAAACCTAAAAAGTAATGTGGTTTGGTGAGAGGGTGAAGTTGGAACGAGTTTTTTTTTAGCATCTGTTCTTTACTGAAAATGTTTAGATTAAAATTTTTATTTCATGGTATTAGTGACACCGCAATTATGCTTTTACTTCTTTAGTCAAAAATCTGAAAACTTGTTACTCGCTAACAATTAAGTTTTTGACTTGAATTCATCTTTGAAGAATCAGACTGTAAACAACAAAAAAAGAACGCTCCTTAATGGTCATTGGTGATAATAAACCACATTGTTACTTCCAAAGTTTTGAAGGTTTTCCTTTGATTATTTCTCTTTAAACATCAATGTTCAGTACTATTCTTAGAGGGGTAAGAAGGTTATTTATACAGCTACAAATGAGTCCAAATATTGTTGTAAAAGCTGAAAAACTCAAGTTACTACTAAACCATTCTGAAATATAGGTAGTAAAGTTCATTAAAAGTCCAGTTTTTGTTTTGTTTGCATATCATGTAGACAAAAATGCACTTTAGGTTGTTTTTTGTTTGTTTCTTCTTTCTAAGACAGAGTGGAAATATATAATTGTATTCTTAAAAAGGCACTTTTGGTTTTCTGAGGAAATCAGCACAGTTGTAGATGCAGGTAATTCCAAATAGTGTCTTTTATGTCATTACTTTTTTTAATTAATATAATTTTTTTTGTTAAGGTATCATTATTTCTACTTAATTGTATTTTTAACACTTTATGCACCAATGCTTCTGGATATTGGCATCAGTGAGTCTTCCTGTCTATAACCTGAACCTGACAATCTTCCATGAACCTCCTCTGCTCCACCCGGCACCTTTTTAACAAAATAAACCTGTAAATGATTCCAACACCCTCAAAAAAATCTCAAAGTAAAGTTTTGACCTTGTATCTTTGCATATTTGGCCATGAGAAGA